AGCCATGCCCTGACTTAGATCAGCCAAGAGGTTGTTTCTGGGATCGATCAGTGAGTTAGCCATGCCCTGACTTAGATCAGCCCAGAGGTTGTTTCAGGGTATCGACAGAATTTGAGCATAAAAAGGCTTAATCAATTCTTCCATATCATCAGCCATTCGAAAAATCTTACAAAATAAAACAATCATTGAGTTCGGTTTTCGCATGATATCGTAAATTATCAAGACCATAACTTACGATATCATACTCAACCTCGTCCAATAAAATAATTGTATAGTATTTGCACAGCTAAGCTAAAGTGTGCAATAAGAATTGGCATCACAACACATCTCACCCCTATAAATCCTTGTCCTGCAGATACATTAGCCACTACAATGTCTAAGTTAGCCATGCCAGAGTTTTGTTGTGAAAATCCAAGTCCTACCCAACCAGTAGCCTTCACCACCAGCTTAAAAAACAACTCGTTTGTGTTGGAGTCAAATTTCCAGAATACAAGGTAGTCACCATTGTTGAACGACAGCTGTTTGTTGTAGACGTTACTGAGGACGAGATAAAAATGTCAGAATTTGCATTCATCATTGCATTTAGCCAAAAGCTTAAAAAATATGGCTTGGAAAAAGCCAACAGGAATAGACCTTATTCGTGGTGTGACAATGTTTTCCCAATTCAGCGTGACGAACCTCCAGAGGATTCATTTTCTTTTGTTTTTACTCTTCGACAAATTCATGAGTATCCCAAAGGATACGAAAGGAATAACGATGATATCCCGACGAGTTTCAAAAAAATAGCTCTTCATTCCCCCAGAGGTTTGTCACGCTGAATTGGGAAAACATTGTCACACCACGAATAAGGTCTATTAAGGAAATGTTTTTGCCAAGAGAAAGCTAAAATTTAACCTATTGATTTTATATGAAAAAAAATTAAGTTTAAAAAAGTAAATATAGATGGCTTTACAGCCCGTCTTGTGAGTGCCCAGCTTGATGACATAATGCATCGTTGTAGAGAAACATTTAAAAATCTGATCTGCCCTTGATGGCAAACAAAGCAGGATACATTGACGTGGGGATGTTGATTTTTCAGTTCGAGTAGCATTCACGGAAGACAAAAGTAGGAAAGAAAGATAGAAGAAAGGAAGAAAGAACGAAAGAAAGAAGAAAGAATAGTCCCCTTCACAATTCCCTGCGCCATCTTGAAAGGTAGCCGTGCCTTTGCATCGAAGCGAGACGAACGGTGAGCTTGCAGTGATAGAGACGTGAATAATTGTCCAAGGTGTTATCAAAAAAGGTGTTTATCATCCCAAGCTCACCGTTCGTCTCGCTTTGATGTAGAGGCACGGCTACTTTTCAAGATGGCGCAGGGAACTGTGAAGGGGGCTATTATCGAAAAATAAAATATTCTTGGAAAACACTATATAGTTTATATTATGCCTCGTAACAGACAAAATCTTTCTAAAAAATCAATATGCCATGAGTTGAGTAGCGTTGTGTGCATAGAACTTTGAATGTAGTGAATAAGTGCCCCCAGTTAGCAAGATTTAAAGCGCTAGAACGAATAGACAAAAATAAAGAGAGATTTAGTCTATTTTTACCAACTCATTCTGCCTCACGATCTTCGTACACTAATACATCTCTTTACAAACCTTGGAGCGATAGTTGGAGAGGTGTTCGGAGCGGTGTTCGTAGCATTGGCTGGAGCGGTGGTCGGAGCGGTGGTCGGAGCAGTGGCTGGAGCTGTGATTGGAGCAGTGGTTGGAGCAGTGGTTGGAGCAGTGACTGGAGCGGTGGTCGGAGCGGTGGTCGGAGCAGTGGCTGGAGCTGTGATTGGAGCAGTGGTTGGAGCAGTGGTTGGAGCAGTGATTGGAGCTGTGGTTGGAGCGGTGGTAGGGGGAGGCGTCGTAGTTTGTGGTAAAGGTACCAGTTCGTGCACCTGTGGACTATAGCCTCGGGCAGTATGATATGCGAGAGTATCGCTGCTGGTATGGGTCGCCCATGCAAAATACACCTTGTCTCCAGGCTGAGTAGTAAACCAAACAACTCATTCTTAGTATTGCAGCAGTAGAAAAAGTAAAATTACTCGGAGAAAATATAGTTATTACTAGAGCTGGTTTTACCCCACTAGGACCTCGCTAACCTCCAGGCATCAGCTGACTGGCTTTTAGTTTTTTTTAAATCAAATAATTGATACCTCTGACCATTTTATGTAAATGTTAGAAGGCTATAGAAGAAAAACGTGCCGCATCTGGAGTTGTAAGAATTGCAGAAAAAAGTGTTCAAATTGACCTCTTTATCTTGGCCGTAAATGTTTCCCCATTTCAGGCCACATGTCATTCTCATGAGGATAATATTTGTTTGTTTGAGTTGTACCCATAGTCATTTGATATACTCTAAGGAATTGGAAAGTTGGTTTGAAATGGGGAAAAATTATGTCCAAAGAAAGAGGTCTATTCCTAATGCAACTTAGACAGAACAATGAATTCTGATAAACATATTACCTGGATAAGTAGGTCTTTGACATCCTGAGTGTTGAGTCTTCTCTTGCAGTGAACCATTGTTACACCATTTGACTCGCTGGCGCTGATGAGCGTGTAGTCCTGTTGGGAATCCTGTGGTGGTTCGCCCTTTCCAATGGCATAGTTATCCTACGAAAAGACATGACAAAAGGTATGTTTGATACTAATTAAGATTTTTTAAGAGGAAATTTTTTCAATAACGAGCAATAATGGCAAAAAGCGCCAAAAACTAGACCTTCGTATGAGTTTTGATCCCAATTTAACACTCGAAACCTTTTTTTAACAGTTAGAAACTGATGTACTATGATAAAATGCCTGTTTGAAGCGGTATTTTCAATTGTACAAAGATGGATGTTTTGTTGCATTTGTGTTGGAATGTTACTTTGTCAGGCTTTTTTTATAGAAAATGTATGGCGGGAAATACGCAAATAAAGGCCTTAACCTCATTTTCGATTCAAATTTTTTAAACTAATCTAAACTAAACTAAGCTAAGCTAAGCTAAACTAAA